TTATTTCGAAGCCGTAGATCGCTGAACTGTGGCGACGAAATCGAACACCACAAGCATGGTGTTGTATGGACAGGGACTAGACCTGTCCACTCGTGCTGGAGTTGTGCTGTCAATAACGTGAATAATTTCTCAAATAGGAGATATCTATCTTATTACAGTATATTTTTGGTTTTATATAGTTTAGTTTAATTAGGATAATAAAGAGTTATTAAAACACCAGTTTTAGAAATTATTTATTAATGTGAAACGTTTAAAGCCATGGGTTACTGAACTATGACAATACAGATGAAAGTGAGTGAAACCTCACTGTAAAGTGAGGTTTACTGTACAGTATTCCATTATCTGTCCACCCTCACTCGTCTTGTTTCATCACAGAAAATGTATATAAGAAGATTTCAACACATTAGCTAGCTATTCACGCTTCAGCCTTTAAATTAATTTACAAAGATAAGTGTGCCACAAATCGGTGAACGAAAATCATTGAAACTCAGTCGTTCACTTTGGACGACTCTGGCTGGTGTTTGGTTAATATCCGTCACTTCTTGTGGACCATCTGGCTGGTGTTTGGTTCATATGATTCACTTGTTGTGTGGTCCACTTGTGTGATCCAACTTGTCTTATGAAGGAATTATTAATTGTAATCTGTGATAGAATGAAACAGTTTTCCACCACTCTGTGAACTCTGTCCCAACATCATAAGCTTGTGGTCCACTTGTGGTCCACTTGTGTGGTCCATTTGTGTGATCCAACTTGTCATATGAAGGAATTAATAATTGTAATCTGTGATAGAATGTGAAAGTTTTCCACCGGTCTGTGAACTCTGTCTCGACATCGTAAGCAAATCCGAACATCCCCCGCTTCGTCGAACCGGGTGAGTAAATCCGGCATGAAAAGTGTGCGAACTAGCCGGAAATTCGTTGAATCGGGGTACTTTGAATCGAGGTTGTACTGTACAGGCATACCTCAGTTTAAGAGTTTAATTGGTTCCTGGAGACGCCTCGTATTCCGAAAACTCGCATTCCGAAGCTAATTTCCCCATAAGAAATAAAGGGAAATGAATTAATCCGTTCCTGACTACCCCAAAAACCCCACATCAAACTAAATTTTTATACCTAATTCATCTAAATAAACCTACAAAACTATGTTCAAGTTATTACTTACCTTGCTGTTGAATGCTGTAGGCGTATGGAAGATGGTGGGAGGAAGAGAGGAGTTATTGTTTGGAAGGGGAGTCCCCTTCCATTATAACATCAGGCAGTGAGGACTTCACTGGTATGCACACTCTGGCACATTTTGCCTGCATACCACTAGGGCTTGCTTGTCTTACTAAGAATTTGTCTAATGACACTTGTTTTTCCCTACATTTTAACACTTGTCTGTAGTAAGACATCACATTACCCATTTAAAAGGTCAATGCAACGGCCTGCTACAGCTTTATCTGGGTGAGTTTTTTCAACAAAATTTTGCAGTTCTTCCCATACTTCACACATTTTCTTAATCAAGAAGGGACATCCTCTACTGCCTCTACTCACAGCTATTTTCTTAGGTTGAACCTTACCAATGGCTTTCTTGAGACCCATGGCAAGATATATAATGACAACTTTTATGCTCAAATGGCCAAAAAAACGATAAAAAACTGTAAATCCTTGTGAAGAATTCAGGTGGGATAGTCACTGGACACGAGACACTGGTAAACTGAGGCGCGATCGCCATGCCACCACGCGCCAGTCGGCCTGTACACGTACAGTGGTACCTCGGAATGCGAGTGTCCCTGTATGCGAGTTTTTCGGAAGACGAGCAGGATTTACTCCAAAAATATGTCTCGGAAGGCGAGGGTTACCTCGGGACGCGAGTTTGTTGATACGTGTACAGGCCGACTGGCGCGTGGTGGCATGGCGATCGCGCCTCAGTTTACCAGTGTCTCGTGTCCAGTGACTATCCCACCTGAATTCTTCACAAGGATTTACAGTTTTTTATCGGTTTTTTGGCCATTTGAGCATAAAAGTTGTCATTATATATCTTGCCATGGGTCTCAAGAAAGCCATTGGTAAGGTTCAACCTAAGAAAATAGCTGTGAGTAGAGGCAGTAGAGGATGTCCCTTCTTGATTAAGAAAATGTGTGAAGTATGGGAAGAACTGCAAAGTTTTGTTGAAAAAACTCACCCAGATAAAGCTGTAGCAGGCCGTTGCATTGACCTTTTAAATGATAATGTGATGTCTTACTACAGACAAGTGTTAAAATGTAGGGAAAAACAAGTGTCATTAGATAAATTCTTAGTAAAACAAGCAAGTCCTAGTTGTATGCAGGCAAAATGTGCCAGAGTGTGCATACCAGTGAAGTCCTCACTGCCTGATGTGATAATGGAAGGGGACTCCCCTTCCAAACAGTAACTCCTCTCTTCCTCCCACCTCCTCACCATCTTCCATACGCCTACAGCATTCAACAGCAAGGTAAGTAATAACTTGAACATAGTTTTGTAGGTTTATTTAGATGAATTAGGTATAAAAATTTAGTTTGATGTGGGGTTTTTGGGGTAGTCAGGAACGGATTAATTCATTTCCCTTTATTTCTTATGGGGAAATTAGCTTCGGAATGTGAGTTTTCGGAATACGAGGCGTCTCCAGGAACCAATTAAACTCTTAAACTGAGGTATGCCTGTATCAACAAACTCGCGTTCCGAGGTAACCCTCGCCTTCCGAGACATATTTTCCGAGGAAATCCTGCTCGTCTTCCGAAAAACTCGCATACAGGGACACTCACATTCCGAGGTACCACTGTACTTATATATAACGTGTATATATAGTATAATAACAGAAAAAGGAGTGTGGGGGGGGGGAGAAGCCATTTTGGTGAGGGAGGTGGTGACATCTGCATGATTTATCATGCTGGTAGGGGTGGCCACAATGCTCTTTTGGCACTATACTGGCTTAGTTGAACAGTTATGGTGAACAAAACATGTAAATACTTAATAAATACAGTACTTATATATAATGCATGTGTATAGGGTAATAACACCACAAACAGTATTATTGGGGGAGAAATTTTAGTGTGTCTGACCTTGAATGTGTGAGGGAGGCAGCCGCCACCTGGCTGTGTGTAGCGACGTCTCTTAGTGCCTGAACTAACTAACTATATCAACTTAGTTGTACAGTACTTATATATAACATGTGTATATAGTAAATAAAAGCAAAAACAGTATGGTGGGAGGAGAATGTGGGCGAGTGAGGTGTTGAGGGAGTGAGTGGCAGCAAGTGGCTGGCTGGTGTGTTGCGGTCACTCTTCATTGCTTTTTGACTCATAATACCAACTTAGTGGTTCGTTATGGTGAACAAAACATACAGATACTTATATATAACCTGTGTACATAGTGTAATAACTGACAAAGTATTTGTTCACTGTTTGATCAACATAATAATGTTCAGCCTCCTTCACACATTCAAGGTAAGACGCACTAAATATTTCTCCCCCAACAATACTGTTTGTGGTGTTATTACCCTATATACACACATTATATATAGGTATCAACAATATGTACACCATAATTTTGAGTACAGTGATGAGTCACATTTTAGTATATAAATATATCACACTACATACTATTGAATAATATTACATTAAAAAAAAAAAAAGAAGAAAAATCAATCGGAGACATTGAAATAATTAGGTAATTATCTCTTTGTGGCCACGCCTGCCTGACAGCTGGGGCTGAGCAGACTGCCTGGGACGCATGATGAGTCAGCACCTGTTTTTTGCCAGACTTCCCTGCCCTATAGCAGGCAAAATATGCCACATGCGATTTTGTTATTATTTTTCCCATGAACAGAGAACACAAATTAACAGGTTGAGAAGATTTTTTTTTTTTTTTTTTTTTTTTTTTTTTTTTTTTTTTTTTTTTAATGCACCTGTAGACAGTGGCCAAATAGTCCTTAGCAACACAAGGGTTAAAAAGGTTGACACAACGGTCTGCTACAGCTTGATTTGGGTGACACTTTTCAACAAAACTTTGCAATTCTTCCTATACTGCACACATTTTCTTAATAAATGAGGAAGAGACATCCCATACTCTACATACCATTTTAACCCTCATTTTTATTTACCATTTCACCACTTTACTACTGTATTTACCACTTTACCATTTCTAACCCTCATACCATTTTCATGTTTACGAATGATCTCTTGTTTTTTCCTCTATGGTCATTCTCATGTAAGTTTTCTTGGCTTGAATTTTACCACTGGCTTTCTTGGGCCCAATGGCAAGATTTATAATAACAACTTTTATGTTCAAATACCCAAAAATCCAAAAAATCTAAATCTTTACAAAGAATTCAGGCGCGATTGTCACTAGGCGGAAAGCACTGGTAAACTGAGGCATGATCGCCGTGCCACCACGCGCTAAGTCGGCCATACGTGTATCAACAAACTTCTTTTCCCGAGGCAAAGCTCATAACCCAATTCAGATTTTATGAAGAAATTTGGCTCGTAACCCGAAAAGTTTATAAATAGAGGGCATTCATAAGCCGAGGTGTCACTATATATGCATAGCAAGTTCAGATATGTCTGGATAATTTGATAAAATTAATAAATCACAATGTTTATGATTTGTCTTAAATCAGCAAACTTAAAACTTAACAGACACCTTCGAAGTATATCTGATCAATCAGGGTGTAACTAATGTCAGGCTGTGAGCAGCTGCAACGACCAACCTGATTGACCAGACCACCAACCAAAATGCTTGGCCAGAAACTGGGCCACGGGGACATTAACCCTTGGAATCATTGACTGGTATATGACAGGGGTGTAAAGTGGCTTGAGAGAGAGGAAAGGTGGGAAGCATATCTTCCTTATTAGTTAACCAATTATGACACATTGTTCAGATTAGATAACTTTTTAATGTAAAGTACTTTTATACAGTACTGTATATCACTTAATAATTGCGGTTGCTCTGGTTTAAATTTTTTATTAAATTTTAATGTAATTTTTGGTTACCTTTTTCATACAGGTTTGATCGATCAGCAGTCGTTTTTAGAGCACTGCGCCAGGAACTTCACACTATACTCTCAGAATTTTATCCTGAGGATGTAAGTATTTTGCAACGACATATTGTGTATTTACCATATCGGCTGAAATTTGTGTATGATAGATCCCTCCCATCTGATATTACAGGAATATACTGGGGCATAACTGTCTGACCTCTTATAGTGTTCAAGTGAGAACTTGATAGACACCTTCAAAGAATACCTGATCAACCAGGCTGTCTTTCATATGGTAGGCTGCAAGATGCTGCATTGAACAGCCTGGTTGACCAGGCCACCAACCAGGATGCCTGGTTAGAGACCGGGCTGCAGGGATGTTGATCCTCAGAATCATCGTAAGATAACCAAAGGGCAAGCCACTATGACTACAATGAAGAGGCATTTCATTACATTTGACACTGGCTTCTTGCATTATTGGTCTGAAATGAGGGGTGTGCTACAGCAGTCTCACAGCAAGCCTACTTGATCAAGTGGGGTGGACCTCACTCTACCAAATATTATCTGATAACTGGAGGAGGCCGGTTTGGATTTTCTGTTGTCCCAGTTAACCTGAGAATTTGTTTAGTGGGATCTGGATAATGAAGGTTTCTTTTGCAGTAAAATTATTGGAAAAATTTGATAACAATGTTTGGATATTTTAGGTCCAGATTTTTTTAATGTTTTGAAAGTTAACATCCCTGTAGCAAATTCTTTCAGAAATTTAAAGGTTTCCATGACTATATTGTGTGCTATGATAAGAGATGGATACCTCCTACACTTGCAGTAATACCATTTCTTCTGCCAATGCATAATAAATGTCAAAATACTTAAATACTTAAATATTACAAATACATGTTTTATTAATTTGCTTGTACAATGTTTTCAGGGAGACATGATGTCGATGGAAACCCTACTAGAGCGGTTAATCTCAAAGATGTTAGAGGATCAAAATGAGCCTTACATTGACATTGATGATACCATGAAAATGAACCATGTAGAGTTTCTCGTTCGTGCTAACCTAATTACAAGACACCATAAAAATATCTCTCAAATCAGATTCATTGACCCAAGAATGTAATTAGAAATTCAAAGTTCGGTGGCAGAGAACCCTCACTTTCCAAATACCTTTTAGCCCTCTGTATCTTACTTTAAGTTTATACCATCATAAAATTTATACTTTTGTTCCTTTCATGTATTTCCTTTGCTTGTTTAAGTTTCAGCTACAAACTATAAAGATGCTACTAGCACTATCATCATTATCCACTCTTACATCAGTGTTGGCATCAGTGTGGTGCTTGGATAATGGAGAAGAAATGATTTGTAAACATTGAACTTTGGTTCATTATACTTTATGTTGTCTCATATCCCTTTGTTTACATTATGTCTTGCCAAATATCTTAACTTGATTCCCACTGAAGCTTGTAATAACCAAGTATTTTATAAATAATATACTGTATTTATATATGAGAGCCTCTGATTTAATATTGTAACCTTTTTATATTTATGAATGAAGAAGCACAAACCTCTTGGCCCATAGTTCAAAATGTTCAACATGATTCTGGGTATCCGACAGACCTGTGTTTTAGCTTGACGTGGCAGGGCAGCCTGGTCACTTATTAACCCTGAGGACAGTTGACAGTGGTTTATGAAGCCCCTCTTCTAGCTGAAGTTAGACTAAGCTGTTCATTTTGATCTCACACCACTGTACTGTACCTGTATATTTACCTGCATGAATACCTGTTTACCATCCACCCTCTGCATCAGGGTTACATTCCTGGAAACCTACATCCAGAGGCAATCTTTGAAGAAAGAAAGAAATTAAGCTCTAGATACTTCACACAAAAAATCACTTGTTTATTCATACAGTACTAAATTACTGCATTTCTTTAAAACGTTTTGGATGCTTGGGAGTAAACAAGATGCTGGAATGTAACAAAAAAAATTATATTTGTCAGAAGTAACAAAGAAAAAACAGAATCGAATGTAATGAAATGCCAATTTCTGGGTGAGCCCCCGTGGCTCCCTGAAGCTATACATACAGATATGGTACTACCTACTAGGTCGCAAGAGCTGCAAAGTTATGCAGGTTCTCTTTTAAATTCAGCTACTCGGAAGAAAACATTCCAAGTAGCTGAGCCCATATGGTGAGTGCATAGTGGACTTACCTGGCACAGGAGTGGGGCTGTATGCTGTCTACAGCATACAACTGTAGGTTTTGATGCCAGTCCCCAGTAGGGACTGAGCCTTCAATAGAGACTTCCAACCTGGCCAGGACCTAGAGCAACATCTGAACTGGGAGGAAGATACAAGAACCACCACCATTCCAGCCAAAAGACTTCCGCCAAGAGGGAAGTGCAATTGGGAATGGAACCGCATATGAGACCATGGCACTGAAACCATGAGTCGGCCTGTGCCTGTGCGTGGGAGGATTGTGGGTTTGCGCGCTCCACAAATAAACCGAAATATACTAGGACAAAATCGGGTTACAGTAACATAACACGGATCACAGTTATCACAAAGTGTATAATCACATTTAAGAAAGAAAAATACAGTGACAGATGCTAGAACTTTGTGTTAAATAGAGAATAACCACCTGCGCCAGGCCGCGTGGTACTGTAGTGCCCGAGGCCCATGTTTACTTATTTGTGTCTCGGTATACTTGGACTATAGTGGAAGGGATACAGTGAATAGTGAAGGGTAACACAACGTAAAAAGGTGTGAAAGTGTAGGAAAACTGTCGTGCGGAAAATTGGTAACGTATAATTCAGTGCAAAAGTAAGGCAACACAGACCAGTCTCCGTGTACAGTGGCCAAGAGGCTTGACCTAGGGGGACACTCTGTGAATATACAGTAGTGAATATATATTGTAATACGGGATGTGCATCAAGTAACTAATAATATTGTAAATCACATAATATTGCTAGCCGGAAATTAAGCAGAAAACTCCTTTTAGTAATAGTCAATAGGGCAATAATATAAGATCAAGTAACTGGCAACTCGTCGCATCCACCTAGCGACCTGGGACAGGATGACTGTCAAACACATCCCAGTGGGACTGCCTACCAGGGGGGACTACCTTCCTGTACCATTCAATAAGTACCTGTGCAAAAGGTTTGAACATATAATTGTATACATATATTACAAATAGTAAAAGAGTACAGACAACAAGGAATAAAGATGATAAATCACAAATAGGGAAACACAGTCTCTACACCACGAACCCAACATGGAGGTGTGTGGCAGCTGCTTTAAATAATTTCGGAAGAGTGTTGTAGGGATTGTATGTAACATTTGTAACACAAGATTTCACCTGAGTTGTACAGAACTACCTACACACTATGCAAACAGACAAGGTACAGTACCTACTTTATCTGTCACAATGATAGACAGATATGGGAAAATATCACCAGACTAATGAATGACATTCCTGAGGCACATAGGCTAACATTCACACAAAAGCTACCAGAAATATATGCAGATTGTGTAAAAACCGCAATGAACACGGAACATAACCCAAGGACAGAGTTTAGAGAACCAAATTAGCAATGTGGAAGGACATTTGTGTCGAGGTACCCAAAAACCGACAATATGAATAAGGAAAGCAAAAATGAGAATGAAGAGAACAAAAGTGAGAAAAATAAGAGCATCAAGGAGAAAGATGAGCACAACCAGGAGAAAGATAAGAGCAATACCGAGAAAGAATGCGGAAATGAGAAAGTTAGGACAAGAAGCACAGACTGCCTCAAAACAGAGGTGGCCAAGGCATGCACAGGTATAAACAATCAGAAAAAAATAACAGATGAAAATATTTGCAGATATTATGCAAAAGGAAAGTGCAGATATGGGACCAGGGACACAGAATGCACATTCATGTGTAGCGAGTAAACATTATACTCGCTCTAATCTCTCATTACCTTAGTGACAACTCATTAGCACTGATTATGACTACTCAAATCCTTTCCCTAATTACAGGTAACATTCTTTCCATCCTGTTGGAGGAAGCTGAGGTGTAATCCCCAAATATAAGCAAGTGAGAAGTGAATAGCCAACAGTACATTTCCAGTGATTCAGTTAACTTCAGTACAGACGCTTCGAATTTACCACACCTCTACAACCTTAAGAATGTAGCACTCAGCATGTATAGTTCCAACCGACCCCAAGACACAACAGCTTCGACACAGAGTAGACAGCAGATTACGACCACATCGAGTTACAACTCTCTCGTTCCCCATCGAGTTTAGACATGATTTCCCATTGAGCCGCCATGCTCTCCCGCATAGAGCTCTGCGACTCCGGCCTCACTCAGCTCTCTGCTCTGCTCCAAGCTCCATCTCAATGTCTACAACACTGCCAACAACTGACTGCTGTAATAAAGGCTACTAGATAAATATGAAACCCACTAAACACTGTGTATCTAATCTACCCAACAACGTAACTTAATCGAACGTTACACATGCATCCCCGAAAATGCCGAAACACGCTAGGGAAGGGCAGATGTTTTAGAACAGAGTGCAGATATTTCCACCCAAAGCTATGCAAATTCAATTAATGAGAGGAAATGCTACGATCTTCAGTGCCCTGATTTCCACATAAGAGGTGCACGGTGCTATACAACATAACATAACAACACAAAGCTGCTATTAGGACAATATCCAACTCTGGCCCCAGACATCACTCGGTACCCCTACTCAAATCTCTGAATATGTTAGACATTAAGTCACTGCACATTCTCTCATGTGTATTATACATATATAAAACGCTAAACTATAATGCCAATCCTGATCTCAAAAGCTTCATAGAAGGTTGTAACAGAACCCATGAGCACCACAACAGAAATAAATACAGTTTTCATATTCCTAGAGTACGACTTAATCAAACTAGAAATGCTCTACAAATCAAGGGGCCCAGAATGTGGAATGACCTTCCCAACCATGTTAAAGACTGTACCTCTCTCAACCAGTTTAAGATAAAAACGAAGCTATACCTAATAAATTCCCTGTAACCTACCTTACCCTTCTATTGTCAACCAATGTCTGTTTTTTTTTTAAAGAGCGCTGTTTGTCGACATAATTGTATTTGTGCTGCTTTTTCAGCTATGTTTTCATTTCTTGTTTTCATTCTACTCTTTATGCTCAATTAGTATTAAGCTTGTCATTTAAGTTTTTCATGCCCGAAACGCTTTGCGTAATAGTGGCTTTAGGCATTGTATGTACTAGCTCTACCTATAAGTCAACCAATCTTTGTAAAAATTTCTTGTATGTATGTACCTTACCTAAATAAACATTTATTTATTTATTTTTTATTTATTTATTTTATTATTTATAACACGACATAACAAATAACATTTTATTTAGGAAAAGTATATACAATGAGGCCTCGACTTCCGATGCTAATCCGTTCCCAGAGACGGATCAGAAGTCGAAGCAAATTTTCCCATAAGAAATAAAGGGATTTGAATTAATCCGTTCCCCACCCTCCAAAATATTAACATAAAAATACATTTTATACTGAATACAATGGTTTTTTTCTAACTATAATACAGTACTAAAGTTACTCTTACCTTTATGGAGGGCTCTTGATGGCGTATGGAAGATGGTGATGGGGGGAGGAGGAGAGTTGTTACTGTTTGGAAGGGGAGTACCATTCCATTATCACATCAGGCAGTGATGTTTTCTCTGGGGTACTCTCTCTCCTACGTTTTGCCTGAATACCACTAGGACCTGGTTGTGGTTCAGTGCTTGTTTGTCTCACTACAAATTTGTCTAGAGACATTTGTTTTTCCATTCGTTTTAACATTTGTCTGTAATGATGCATCACTTTAGCACCCATAATGTCCATTTTCTTAGCTAGTATGGTGGATATCGTTGACTGAGATTTGTTGTACTGCCTAGCCAGTTCACCTACCCGCACACCATCTTCATATTTACGAATGATCTCTTGTTGTTTCTGCTCTATGGTCATTCTTACATGGGATCTCATTTGTTGAGCCTTACCACTGACTTTCCTGGGACTCATGGCATATTATATAATAACTACTTTAATGTTCAAAATGCAAAAAATCACCACAAAAGCGGAATTTCTTATAGGCGCAATCGTCACTAAGCAGGTAGCTGTAGTAAACTGAGGCAGGTCGGACCGCGTGACCGGGAACCACGTGCTCGGCCGACCCGAACATGTACCAACAAATATCGGATGTCGAGTCACATTTTTGGATGAAATTTATATCATAACTCGAAATTATCGTAAGTAGGGGCAATCGTTTGTCGAGGTGCCACTGTACATAGATGCAGAGTTACGAACATACTGTTGGATTTATAGGTAGAGCTAGTACATACAATACCTAAAGCCACTAATACGCATAGCATTTCGGACAAGTTATGGAGGAAAAACACTTAGACTAAAACTTAATAGTAATTGGGAGTAAAGTACAGAATAAATTGTGTTAAAAAAAGGGAATAAAAAGG